AAAATAAAATAAAATAAAATAAAATAAAATAAAATAAAAACAGGACTGTTAAGAATGCATGCTGTTCATTAATATATTTAGAAATATTCACAAAAATTGGAAGAACTAAAAGCAGTTAGTTGTACCTGGAGATTTAATATTCAAATCAATGTTTAGAAGACTTGATAGATAAAGCCAAACACCAGTAGAGCATTTTCTAACAAGACTGTCAATGGAAAATCACCTGAATATAACATCTGATAACTAGAGAAAATATACCCAAAGTCATTACAATGTTGAGTTTTCACATCTCAGTACTGAGCTGCCTCCTACGTGACAGTCACATTCCTCCCAGGCTTTGTAGGAAGGAAATTGAAAGCAAGACCTCACCACCCCCAAGTACTCATCAGCAATTCTCCTTTCACTTCTTGACATATTTTAGGGTATACCTCAGGTCAAGATCAGGGACCAGGAAGGACATCCTTTGAATGGACTTATTTCTGCCCTTATTTATCGTTGCATTTTCATTGGACTCTCAGACTCAAACCTGGGAATCAATGGAGGAGGGACAACAGATTACAGGGAACAGGACAGGGAAGAGGGCAGAAAATTTTATTACCCAAGAGAACTCTATACTTTAAAATGGGTCATTTGTGTTTATATGCTACTGGTTAACTAGTCATCATCTCTCTAGTTATGATTATTTTATATAGTGGAAATTGTATTAACCACAATTGAAGCCCAGTTGAAAATTTTAGCGTCTCATCTTGGCACTTGAGATGAAATCTGGAGTGAGAAAGACCCCAATTTTGATACCTTCATATATATATTCACTATATAACTGGGAAAGCTCCTTGGCGCACGTGAGTCTTTGAGCTGAGATCTGTAACTAAGGAAGACAGTATTTACTTCATAGGACCATTTCTGAGAATTCAGATACTTAGCGTGGGCCTTACACTTAAAAGGTGGTTATTGTTCTAATTCCTTCTACAGGATACCACTAACTACAACGGAAATCTAGGGTTCTGGTGGCAGTGCAAGCCTCAGTAACAGTTTGTTAACCTCTGTTACCTGTCCAAGATCTCCCTTCTCACCTAAAGCTGTCATTCTCCTCTGAAAGCTTTCCTCCTTCCCTACCACACTCTGTAAAATTAGGTTAGACCTTTAATACTAATCTTCTGATGAAAGCTATTTACACTAAGGTATGAATGAAGCTTAACAGAAGTGTGGAATTTTTTCAATGCCCAAATAATCTGTAATAGAGATGCTGAGGGAGTTTTTCTTCCTGTGTAAGAGAAGTTCTGCTACCTTAGACAAATTGACACAGTACCTAAACATATTGATGAAGTATTGACCGGTTTTACCTCCTCCATATTTTCTAAATGGAAGAGCTCCTTATAGAGGCAAAAGTTAACCAAATGAATAGCTGTCAGAGAACCATAACCTATAAATACTATACTATTTTTTTTTTTAATTTTCACTTAAGTTGCTGTTTATTCTCACAGGAAAAACTTTAGTTCCACAAGAAAAAGGACCTTGTCTGTTAGTGCCTGGTGTATAGTGGATGCCCAATAAACATTTTTTGAAAGATCAGGAAAAATACATCATTTAACATTAGAAATTTGCAAAAATAAATTAAAAAGTAAATAAAAGCAACCACAACTTTGATTTATTTGAAAGCCACACAGAAAGGAGATGTCCCAAGCATTGTGTTTATGAGGGCAGCCTCTTATAACTACTCCTGAGTTTGAGTTTGGATGTGTGACCCTAAGTAAATCACTTAATTTCTCTGTTTTGCCTGTTCCCTCCTTCTGTAAAATGGGTATGCCTCAGTTTCCTCCTTCTGTAAAAGGTTATTATGACTAAATAAGGTACTGAATGAGTAAAGAGCCTACAAAATTTCCTGACATAAAGCCCACAGGAAACGCTTAGTGTTTTTATTGAAACATGAAAGTTTGCTGAGGAAGGCATGGAGGTCCAGGAACTAAATGACAGCTGGATGTTCCGCAGTCATTTGGTAAAGCCAGAACCAAACAACCACGTTTCAAGTCCATTTATCTTTTTTTTTTTTTTTTTTTTTTTTTTTTAGTTTATTTATTTATTTTGACATAGAGAGAGCACAAGCAGGTAAGGGGCAGAGAGGAGAGACAGAATCCCAAGTAGGCTCCCTACCATCAGCGCAGAGACTGAGGTGGGGCTCAAACCCAAGAACCTGGAGATAGTGACCTGAGCTGAAATCAAGAGTCAGATGCTTAACAGACTGAGCCACCCAGGCGCCCATTAAGTCCACTTATGAGAAAGTTCTCCCCACTGTGCCAAGCTGCCTGCTCATCTCTTTATACATACTTTCTAAAACTACTTACAAGAAGAAAAAGATGTGCGGTTCACTTGCAAAGGCTTTTGGAAAATGCAGGATTCTCATCTGCTGGCTGGAAATGAGAAAACCTTGAACCGTGCTACACAAAGCAGTTACTATAAGTTCCCTAACCCTGAGTCTAGCAGACATGGAAAATTTTGTTCTTGAGCATTTGTGAGCACACAGATCAGGGAAACGGGAATCCAAACAGCAATCCTGAGGTGTCTTCAGGATGAATATGATATTCAGAGTCACGGAGTGCTTCACTTCCTCCTCCGGTCTCACCTCCCTCGGCTCCATGCTTTCCCCACAGCTGGTGCTGGAAACCGCGAATGGCTCGCTAGCGCGGGCGGGGGCGGCCCAGGGGCCAGAGCCGGAGGCGGCGGAGATGAGGCGAGGCTAGGCAGCAAGCGCCAGTGCAGAGCTCAGCCTCGAACACAGTTTTCCTCCTGGACCTGTCAAGTCAGACCTCACGTGTACACCGGGAGAATCTACCAAAGGCTACCTAACCAGCCGCGGCCTCTGAGCGCTGCACTGATGTGCCAGGAGCGGAAGGTGAGTCACCCTGTCCTCCTCCCCGCCCCCACCCCGTGTCCAACAGGTGGGCTGGGGCTCGACTCCAAGGGGCCCAGTGGGTACACCTCTGGTCTCACCTGGGCAAGGCGCTCGGCTGCTCCCTTCACCCAGCCGTCGGTACTATTTAAACTCCTGCCCCAGCCCACGCTTGTTCTATTCCTTGTCTTTCTGCCTTCCCTTTCTCCTAAAATGAGAGCTCCGCTGTGCGCCGGGGAACGCGCCCAGAACGCCTGCTCTCCGGGAAACTTCTTCGAGCAGAAATGGCTAAACCGAAGGGCGCAAAGTGCCTCGATACGAGGCAATGGTGACCCCTAGTTCTTAGCCACTCACTGGGACTTCAGTTAAAAGTCATCATCAATTTCTCAACCAGCAGGTCAGAAACAGACGGAGGGAGAAGAAAATGGAGCGCGAGTGACAATCAGACTAGGATGAGAATGAATGGGAGCAGATGATGCGGCCCCCTCGCCCGGCGCCCCCTCCCCCACGTGCTCATACCCCCAGCGACTACTCCCGGGGAGGCCTGTGAAGCCGCCTCAGTAAAAGGAGACGGAGGAATATATATCCTCAAGTTGGAAAGGACTCTGACCCGGTTACCACTTCCTCGGCTTTCTGAACTTTTCCTCTCGGTCTCCTGGGCTGGAGTGAGTCTTGCCATCCCCCTTGCGTGCGTTCGTTCCCCTAAGAGGCATCCTGTCCTCCTCCTCCACTCTAGACCCGCCACCTCCCCCTGCACGCCCGCTCCACCCCCTAAGTAACGAGGCTTTGAATACGTACACCTCCCGGGCTAGGAATCTCCCTCGCAGATTTAGCGGGGGCTGAGGGCGTAAATCCCGGAAGGTGTGCCCTGGGGCTGTCCCTGGCTGGGACCGCTTCTGAGCACTCGCCCGGGCGCGACCCCCTCCCCTCCCCGCAGCCTGGGCGCGCCCGGCTCTTGCGCTGCTGTCGCGCACTCGCCGCGCCCTAGCGGCCGGAGGGGGAACGAGCGCAGGGGTGCGCGGGTGGGAGGCACCCCCCTCGGGAACCAGGGAAATCCCGGCCGCCGCCAGGGGCCGTGCCACCACCCTCGCTAGACCGAGGCTTCCGGCGCGCCCCCAACTTTGTGGCGCCCTCAGGCAGCGGCGGCGGGGATGGAGCTGCCTTCCCGAGGGCGGGCGCCGCTGGACTCGTCGCTGGACAGCTGCTCCCTGACCTCGTTGGAGTCCAGCGTTTTCTGCAGCGAGGGCGAAGGGGAGCCCTTGGCGCTCGGGGACTGCTTCACGGTCAACGTGGGCGGCAGCCGCTTCGTGCTCTCGCAGCAGGCACTGTCCTGCTTCCCGCACACGCGCCTGGGCAAGCTGGCCGTGGTGGTGGCCTCGTGCCGCCGCCGCGGGGCCCTGGCCGCCGTGCCCAGCCCCCTGGAGCTCTGCGACGATGCCAACCCCGTGGACAACGAGTACTTCTTCGACCGCAGTTCGCAGGCATTCCGCTACGTCTTGCACTACTACCGCACCGGCCGCCTGCACGTCATGGAGCAGCTGTGCGCGCTCTCCTTCCTTCAGGAGATCCAATACTGGGGCATCGACGAGCTCAGCATCGACTCCTGCTGCAGGGACAGGTACCCGGGAGGCGTGCGGTGGCCGGGCTGGGAGGCGGGCGCAGTGGAGAGAGGGCGGCAGAGATAAGATGTGAGGCTTCGGAATCCTCGCGGAACGCAGGCCTAAAAAACACCTGAGGCCACTTCTGAGCTGAAAGGTGGGGTGGCGGTGGGTCCGAAAAGTGTCAAAGCCAGCTTTCGATTGGAACTTTTTAAACCTCCTCCTTTTTTGGATAAATGCGTGCCAATCCGTTTTTAAGACAAAGGAGGTCAGGCCTGCAATGAATACTTGATGATTGAATGAGTTAGAAAAGCTATGATCCAGAAGATGCATGTATAGGGATGTAGGTTTCAGTAGGGAGCATTATCATTTATCACTGAGAACCCTTAACTTGAGACTTGGGTGGAGAACTGCTTTAAATACAGAAGATAGAAAGTTGGTTCCTTGACTGTGAATGTTTCTGGGACTTTGATGACGACTTTCCTTTTATTTTGCTATTGGTACCATTTCGTCATGAATACCTTTACATCACACACACAAAAAGGTTCCATAGGACAAACTTCTGTTCTTGTTACAAGAAAAATGGGTAATAAAATGCATTAAAGTAGACTTGCTATGTATAAATCCTTTTGTATAAACTTCTAACAAGAAAGTACCATTTTAAAAATAATAATCTTAAATGAGAACTTTGGGGTACTGTGGGCAGGAGACAGCCCGGGTAAAATTTGAATGGACATTTTCTGCATTTTACTGAAATAAAAAAGCATGACCTCTCTGCTAAGTTTAATCTTTTATTTTATTTTATTTTATTTTTACTTCTGTACTTTTAAAAAGTTAGACTAATCACCAAGTTGTTTTTTCTAAAAGATACTTCAGAAGGAAGGAGCTGAGTGAAACGTTAGACTTTAAGAAGGACACAGAAGACCAGGAGAGTCAACATGAGAGCGAACAGGACTTCTCACAAGGACCTTGTCCCACTGTCCGCCAGAAGCTCTGGAACATCCTGGAGAAACCTGGATCTTCCACAGCTGCTCGAATCTTTGGGGTCATCTCCATCATCTTTGTGGTGGTGTCCATCGTCAACATGGCCCTGATGTCAGCTGAATTAAGCTGGCTGGACCTGCAGCTGCTGGAAATCCTGGAGTACGTGTGTATCAGCTGGTTCACTGGCGAGTTCATCCTGCGCCTCCTGTGCGTGCGGGCCAGGTGCCGCTTCCTGAGGAAGGTGCCGAACATCATAGACCTCCTTGCCATCTTGCCCTTCTACATCACTCTTCTGGTAGAGAGCCTGAGTGGGAGTCAGACTACACAGGAGCTGGAAAATGTGGGGCGCATTGTGCAGGTCTTGAGGCTGCTCAGGGCTCTACGCATGCTAAAGCTGGGCAGACATTCCACAGGTATTCAAATTTCAGTGATGCTTTTTAATTTGCCATTGTTTGTAAACATTAGTGCTTGACTGTAGTCCCAGGGAAGTGACTCTGAATTGACACTCAAAATTACCAACTCTCATACTTTACCCAACCAAAATGGTGCTGGGAAGTTGTTATCACAAGTATAAAGAAGATGCCGCCCACACTCCTTCTCTCGATATGACATGTAAGAAACAATTTGACCACTTGTTAACCTCAATTTATTTCAACCGGCTGCTCAGAAGATGTACAAAAATTAAAGACACTCGGCCTCAAGAAAGTTCTAGATAATATATGTATAAACAGCACGTTAAAAGAGATGCAGAAATTATTCATGATACATAAGGACATAAGCCAGTTTCTCTTCTGTGTCCAAGGAAGGGCTTACCACACACATTCCTTGGCAAAAAAAAAAAAAAAAAAAAAAAAAAAAAAAAAAAAAAAAAAAAAAAAAAAAAAAAAAAAAAAAAAAAGTCAGTCTTGCAATGCTTTCTCTGGCCATGCAGAAAGTGAGATGACCAGGCACTGTTTGCCGCCCCATAATTTTTGACAAAGCAATGGAAATATTTGCTTTGGAAGAAAGCAGAAGATACTAATTACTAAATGCTTTGTCTAGTATCTAAGAATTTTCTTGTCCCTAAAGTGCGATGAATGAGAGAGATAGTAACAGAAATTCCTTAGCTTGTATCATATGAAGGCTTGAAAATCTAATGAACATTCCCCCTAGAAAAGTTCCCACACAACAACAATCGTGCATGAAAGTTACAGACAATGTCAGGGGAAGTCACACAAATCCATTACAGATGATCCCTATTTCCCTGAGGGTGGCAATTTTCAGTGGCTGGTCCTATGGCTGTTGGGTGTTCTGGAGTATATAAGTGTTAACTGATGTTAGATTTTAATGAAAATAAGAATAAGAATCCCTTGAAAAGCTTGTTAGAAGGCAAATTCTGATCTCCAATCCATGAGGAGTCAGATTTTAGTATTTGGGGTTGGATCAAGGAGCATACATTTTAACAAGCTTACAAGTGATTTTGATGGACCATACATTAAGAAACACTCCAGTAGGATGCCATGTTAATATGATACATATTAATACAATACACATGAATACAAATAATTTAGCTATTTCCACCTTATTCCCCCAGATATGTGCCTGGTTGGTCACCTCAAAGAAGTTTGTGGTGGTTGTCACTTCCTATTAATATAGGGAGAAATTAACCTCAAATATGTTTTTCCCCCACATCTCTGAGGTAATTAGGACTTATTCGAACATAATTTTGGTAGTGTATTTTCCTAGCTAGTCTCCCATACCAGCGATGTGATAATGGGGTTTCCAACAACTTTTACAAGTACCACTCTTTGTTTTCTGACACACATAATAGGATGCTTTCTTCTAGTATTTATAAACTCTTCACAGGATTCAATTTAAAAACACCCAGTAAAGACTACATTTGCTCCTAAAAGAAAAGAAAAAGAAAATAATAGTAATTTCCACAATGTCATGTCTTCAAAGGTTTTTTTCAGTTCCAAAGCGGTACAAAGTATTAATAAAGACTTAATTTATTGAAAGGATATGAATGCTTCCATAAATATTTGACAATTTTATCTTAAACATTACATTTAGCAAAATGTAGATGTAGGTGACATATTTCCCCATGTATTAAACTATAAATATAAGTTGAGAGGTATTATAGAATAACAGGAGGACCAGAGAGCCTAAGTTTAAATCCTGGTTCAGTAACTTTGTACTATTTATGCTACTTCTCTGTGCCTCAATCTTCTCATCTGTAAAATTGCCTAATAATTACATCAATCTCCTATTGTTTTTTGAGGATTATCTGAGTTAATAGATGTAATGTGCAGAAATTCAGACAACTTTGTTTTTCTTTACAAAATTATTTAGAACATTTCATCTTGAAATGAAAACAGTCTCCTCACTGTGGTTTTTCTCAAATGTGGTCAGTTTATTTCAGAAATACAATTCAATGCAGACACATCAAGGCCAGTTTTCTAAAAGGTATTCTAAAGGTATTCTTAAAAAAATCTTCTTTTGAAGTTAAACGTCAAAATTAATATTCCTCAATCTTTAAAAATACTTGGTACATAATTTAAGAATATCTCAAAGTTTTAAGAACAAAATTTAAAAATAATGAGAGCACAAATGGTATTTTAATGAATTTTAAATAGTCTCTAGTGAATAAAATTAAAATAATTCTAGGAGATATTACTTCGACCTTCAGAGACAGTATCATTTTGGCTTCAGACTGATATGACTTCAAAACGTGGATATGCTTTTAGCAGTGTTCAGGAACTCTAGTTGTCAGGGGAGATACCTTATTCAAATTGTAATCCCATTATGGGCTCAACTGACTCTCCTTAGGGGCTGAGTCTCTCTAGAGATGGGATTGGATTCTCTTGGGTGTGTCTCCCAGGGGTTCCATATGTCCTCAGAATAGTAATAGGGAACACACCACTGCCTCACAGTGAATGAATTTTCTAGTAGCTTCAGTCCCCCATACCTTTCTGCAGTGAAAGGAATAATCTGTATTCTAGTCTATCTCTGTACAGGAAAGCAGAAATTCTATGTACTCAAGGGAAATGTTTCCCCATGGCTTTGGTATTAAGGGTGCACATTTCAGTGGGTGTCATGGGAGTTCAGGACATGGTAAACCGTTAAGAATGTCCCATGATTGCACATGATGTTTTCACGTCAGCTTGCATATGATGCCTCACTTTATTCTCATGGAGGACATCCTTTACCCCTTCTGGCTTTCAGATAACAATACCCTGATTATGTTCAACTTCATTGGGAGGGTGAGTAAAGCAGACACATCAAATGTAAAGAGACGGCATAAAACCAGCATCAGAAAAGTGTGCCAAAGCGATACATTGAAATGCACGTCTGCCAAGTGAGCCCTCCACTTGCGATGCTGCACAGGCCTCCCATTTTGTGGATTAACATATAATTTCCATCATACATCCACTGCCTGCTTTTTAGTCTCATCTGTCACTTTTTTTGGTATAAATAGTAGGTGTTTAGTAAATATTTCTTTCTGTCTTTTTCAATCTGGCCCCACCAACTAGACTATGAGCTCCCTGAAGAAAAAGATAATGATTTCTCATCTCTATCCCCAGAACCACTGCCCAATGCTGCAGGCATATTAGATGTGAAATGCAGATTTGTGGGTGGATAGTCAGAAAGGAGAGGGAAGGGAGGAAAGCAGAGGGGTGGGGGAGGGAAGAGGTGCCCAGGGACTGACAGCAGTTGTTCTCTTACAGGATTACGCTCACTCGGGATGACAATCACCCAGTGTTATGAAGAAGTCGGCCTACTGCTCCTCTTTTTGTCTGTGGGAATTTCTATATTTTCAACTGTGGAATATTTTGCTGAGCAGAGTATTCCTGACACAACCTTCACAAGTGTCCCTTGTGCATGGTGGTGGGCCACAACATCCATGACTACTGTGGGATACGGGGACATTAGACCAGACACCACCACAGGCAAAATCGTGGCCTTCATGTGCATATTATCAGGAATCCTTGTCTTGGCCTTGCCTATTGCTATTATTAACGACCGCTTCTCCGCTTGCTATTTCACCTTAAAGCTCAAGGAAGCAGCTGTTAGACAGCGCGAAGCTCTGAAGAAGCTTACCAAGAATATAGCCACTGACTCATACATCAGTGTGAACTTGAGAGATGTCTATGCCCGGAGTATCATGGAAATGCTTCGGTTAAAAGGCAGAGAAAGGGCAAGTACTAGGAGCAGTGGAGGAGATGATTTCTGGTTTTGAAGCCACTTTCAGTTTATTTACAAAAGCTTGTGTACAACTAACTCAACTGATAAAGCCTTGATATGGATGTCTATGTACTGTTGAAGAGTCTCTTTTGAGTATACCACCTGTGTTAGTTTTTGCTGATATTTTGCTTGGTCTGCTAGAATAGTTCACGTCCCCCAAATCGAGTGCACATTGTTTTGACACAGTTGAGCCGCAAAAAATAGTCATTTAACATAACCCAATACAAGTAGGCCAAATGTCTGGATTGTCAAATATAATAGTGCAATACATCCAACAAAGTTAAAAGTTTTATGCATCACTAATTTTAAGGTTTTTTGCACCACTAATGTAAAAAGAATGGGAGTTAAGCTACACGGCCCAGAGAAAAGGTAAGTGAACATTTAAGAACATACTGGACATTCTTCAAGTAAATAAATCACTCCTTCCTCCATCGGTTAAAGTTGTTACATACAACAATTAGCTTTGCAAGCGCAAATCCTGATTTGATAGCCATAGATGGTGTCTTCCCTCTGGTGCAAACCACTCATCACAGAGGGACTAACTTCTGATTTCAGTCATTACTGTTGGAGGTGGGAATCCCCAGGCTGCTTAACCACTGACAGAACAGGGGCTTCAAGAACTGTACATTCTCATCGTCTCCACGGAGTGCAGTAGTGTAGCCTAAAGCAGGTTTCTCTTGTACCCCTTGGAAATTAGATGGTCTTTAAAAATCTCTTTATTGATGTGGTGTTCAAATTATGTCTTTAAAATCACGAATGTGTAAAGGTGAAGTAGTGAACATCCTAAAAATATACACTAAAAGTATTAAATAGTCTTATTTCATAAAATGAGAATGATATGTTGACTGATATCACTGGATGAACTTGAAAATCTTTTATTTGTTAACAAAAATATTATAGATAGCTTTCTGGCTTTTGGGGTAAATAGCAAATGTTCCAACTTTGCACGCATTTGACAGCATTTGACGGTCATTTGTGATAATGATAAAATTCCTAGACATTCTGTTATATGATTAAAACCAAAAGTTCTAAACCTAAGAATTAGTTGATGATTCCCAATATTCTAGTAAATGAGTTTTTAAAAACTAAGAGTGATATGGAGTGTCACTTTAATACCTGCCTTCTCAGTGGGTGTAATAGTGTCCCAAAGGGATGATATTGGTTCTTAGGGGGGGGGGAAAAATCTGTCCTTTTATTCAGAAAACACATACATACATGCAATACATAAACAGATATAGAGTATACCTATGGTGTTAAAATTTCATGAAGTGGAAAATTAGAGAAAAAAATGCCTAAAAGGCTCCTTGCCTGGGTTGGGTGGTGATAAGAAATACATATTGAGAAATACTGCTTTAATATATGGCTATACCATATTTCATCAATTCTAGTTAAAACACTTTATTATATTATGAACCACGAAAACAAAAGGGATGGAGTGAAGGAGAGGGGTAGGGACAGAAGGGAGGAAGGACAGAGAAAGGAAGGAGGAAATAAGGAAGGAAGGGAGGAAGGAAGGGAGGGAGGGAGGGAGGGAAAGAGGAAGAGGGAGGAAGAAAGGAAGGAAAGAAGAGAGAACCCAGTCAATTATAAGATGCCATTGATTATAAAATCCGTCCAGATTTTGGATAAGTAAGGTTTTAAATACACATCTTAAATCAATAAAATATCATGTATATTACCTCTGGTGTTTGGTGTTTAAGCTCTGAAAACATTTTCAGTGGTGTCATGAGCTTTAGGTTGTATGTTAAAATATTTTAATCCACTTGGCCTGTTTTCACTTCTCCCAAATATCGTGAAAGATGTAGGAGATATGAATGGTAATAAAGTAAATATTTTCCCTCTTACACAATGCACAGGTGCTGGAAGATAGCATAGGGTCACTAATTCTAGTATAAATCCCACCCATAATCTGAAGGGGAGATAAGACACAGAAGCCAAACTTACTGTGGCTTCTCTAGAACTCTCCCCATTAAGAATAGTTGCTCTGATCTAGGACTGTGCTCTATGCCCAAGATGTATTATGTCATTAATCCCAAAATATCCCTATTAAACAATTACTGTTATCCTGCTTTAAGTATTACATTTATTTATTCAACAAACACTTATTTAGGACCCATTTGTGCGCTGGGCACTAGGGATTCTTAAAGCAGACCAAGTCCTACTCTCTTGTATTTAATATTCTATTCAACAGTGTGAGGGGAACACAGATGATGAAATGGAGTCATAGGAGGGTGAAGTAACCTGGCTAAATTCACACACCCCATACACAGGTGACAGAGCCAGGAATGAATCCTAATCTGCTGAACCGTGAAAATGATACTCCCAAAAGTCATATTATAGATTTCATTATTCCCACACAGTTGTGGATAGGGATTCACTTTGTAGGCAGGCAAGTCAATTTCTTGTGTATGGAGAGGTTTACTATGCCTTAAGAAAAATTTCAGCTTATTCTCAGAGGTAGAATGTTGATTATAAGGAAAGGTCATTGTCATGCCTTACAGTCATTATAAGACAAGAAAAATACTATCTTTAGAATAATTAGTAGCTATAAAACAAAAAATAAGAAAAATGAAAAAACCATATGTATTCTATATAGATTTTTTTTTCTACCACCAAAGACTCTAAGCATGTTCTTCACAAATGTGGTATGTTAGTAGTATATATTTTGTCAAGATGTGGACATTTCAAAAGAAATTTTAAATACCACTGCTTAGTCACCTTTGCTGTTATATAAAATATCAGTGTACTTATTCAGCAATGTACATATAAGCAAACCAAATTTAATTTAAGTAACATATGAAGTATCTGTTAATTTTATATCCCATCGTTTAAAAAACATTTGATATTTTTCAGAAATGTAAGACTTATTGCTATAAAACAATATATTTAATTTGTTTGGAAATATCAATAATGGAATTATTGGCTTTCTTTAAGCTATTTAGACAACACTAATTAAAAACATTTGTGTGCACAGAGGTAATGCTTGAGTACCTAAAAGAGCAATTTTAAGAAATCACTGTGGTATCTCTAGTAGAACTGGCGTGATGTTCGTGTTTTACCGGGTTTTTTTCCTGTATATACAAGGAATTGTTGCATTTGTCATTTTAATACAAAGTAGTATTAAGTATAATGAATTAGATGCACAAAGAAGTTAACTGAGGTAGAAATCTTAGTACTGTGTTTCATTGTGGAATTCCTACTCCTATTAAAATCTTTTGACTAAGCCCTTGCAGAGAATATATATGCTGGCCCAAGTTATCCAAGCAAAATATTATCATAGGGTAAGATTAATGCTTCGACAAACATTTCCACTGAAACATTTTGTTAACATGAAAAGCCTGCTCTTTTGAAATATTAGCCATTAATATCTCTGTCTTATCAGTCCTTCAATTCTGGCCCAAGATACCATTTGGCAAATGACATGTGTTAGTGCTTCCCTTGGTGATTTTCCTTCGCAAAGCACCACCACTCCCAACATTGCTCCAAGCCATGCTGATACATGAAATAAAAATGTAAGGGTGCCTGGGTGGCTCAGTCAGTTAAGCATCTGACTCTTAATTTTGGCTCAGGTCATGGTCTCATGGTTCCTGAGATTGAGCCCCACATTGGGCTCTGTGCTGACAGCATGGAACTTGCTTGGGATTCTCTCTCTCCCTCTCTCTGCCCCTACCCTGCTGGCGCACACTCTTTCTCTCTTTCTCTCAAAATAAATAAACTTAAAAAAAAGTCACATAAGGAGAGTTTTACTCATAAACTCTGCAGGTAATTGCTTACATGATGTCTTTAGGGTTAATGGGAAACCTGAATACTCACCATCTCCATGTCCTCACTTGCCTTATATTAGAATCACTCCCTTGCCTACCCCCTCAACTCCATTGCCCCCCTCTTCCTTTTTGGTATTCAATCAGTAAGACCCAAAGCCTAATTAAATCCAGTCCAGTGCCTACTTGTGCCTGCCTCCGCAGAGCTGATCATGAGTACAGAAAAAACCAATGTATGCAGACTGCTCTCATTTTACATTCTTGCCTACAACCCCAAATGGGTTCTTAATGCTGCTAGGCAATCATACTGCAATTCCTGAATGTATTCACTCTCTCTAGATAAATATAGACCTCTAACACCTCCTTTTCATTCCACTTTCACTGAGAAAATAGAATCACATTTTCCACAAGGGCCGACACCCACATTTATCCACCTACCTCCACCTGTGCCTATTCACTCTGCCTTTCCTCCTATTATGTGAATTGAACTGTCCATCCTACCCCTCCTCTCCAACTCTAGGACATTGCTTCAGGAAGCCTTCCCCCTCTCCCTATTACACCATCACTTTTCCCCCTTGCTAGGGGATCATTTCTATTAACACAAAAACATGATTGATTGTTCCCATCTTAAAAATAAAAACAAAAGCAAACAAATGAATTTTTAAAGCTCCTAGAACCTATATCACCCTCTAGGACACACCCCATTCCCTGGTCTCCTTTATGGCAAAACTCCTTGATAGCATTTTCTATATTCACTTACTCCATTTCTATATTCACTGCTTTCCCTATTCTTTCTTGAAAATCCACTCAAATCAGCCTCCCAACTCCACGTATCCTAAAACTGTTCTTCTCGAGGTCGGCAATTATCCCAATCACTGATAAATTCAGTCATTAATTCTTAGAATTCATATTGCTTGATCCATCAGCAGCATTTTATAAGGTTATTGACTTGCTAGACACACTTTCTTCTCTTGACTTTCAGTCCACTGCACTCTCCTGATTTCCCTCTATCCCACTGCTCATTCATCTTTTCTGGTTGAGATGTTTAATCAGGATTTAATCCTCAGATCTAGTCTCCTCTCTATTTACATTGCCCCGTTCATAAACCCATCCTGTTTCATGGCTTAAGTATCATTGATAGTCAACTTCCAAATTTGTCTCCAGACTAGCCCTCCCCCCCACTTCCTGCATCTTCAGATTTTTGTATGCAACTGCCTGTTCAATATCTACACCT